CAGATGTAGCTAATGATTTAACTCCGAGGCTCCCCTCCTCCCAATGGAATGGCAGTATCCCTTTTAGGGATCTGACAGCCAGGGCGGTGTAGTGGTGAAGGCATAAGGGTAAAAGGCAGGAGACTGTGAGTTCTAGGGCTGCGTTAAACACCAGGCCAGCTAGGTGACCTTGGGCCAGACCCTTTCTCTCAGCCCTAGGAAAGAAGCAATGGCAAACAATTTCAGAAAAATCTCACCAAGTAAACTGCAGGGACTTGTCCAGGCAGCCTCTGAGAAGGAGGGGGAAAAAAAAAGATTACGACAGTTCTTGCTACATGAGTAGAATACCAAACAGGCATGTTAAACTCTTTTAAAATGACTTTCTCAAATTCTCTGCCAAGTGGGAAAGCGGCAAGACATTTTGAGAAACATGTCTGCACCCAATATTCTGGGTTAATGCAACAGATTTATATTTTTTTCATTTTTATCAGTGATGCTTTTATATCTGTCTCTTCACCCCCTCCCCCAAAAAAGCCCCATGGGTTGTTAAGGCAATCTTCACCTCTGAAATGTGCAGAGCTGAAATGTGCCAGCTTCTTGTTCGACCAGTGTCTGCCACTAAAAGGACCTTCCCTGTTTTCAGGCCAGTCCACTCACGCCATGGAGATGCTGAGCTCCTGCGCCATCTGCTTCTGCAAATCTGCCAAAGCTGAAAGTGCTGTGGCCAAGTCCATCCTGACCTTAGCCAAATGGATCCAAGCCGAGTGGAAGGAAATCTCAGGACAGTTGAAACAAGTGTACCGAGCCCGACAGCAGCAAAATCTCACGGGCCTCTCCATGCTGTCCAGAAACATCTACACCTTGATTGATCTGCCATCCGTTAACTCCATGGAGGAAGAATATCCGAGGATCGAAAGTGAATCCACAGGTAAAATAGACCCAGAACTGGGCCTTTCCCCCCCACCTTCTTTGTCTGCTTAGGTGGTTGATGGACCAATAGCAGATCCTATCTCACCCCCTGCCCACCCTGTTCCTACTCTCCCTATCTTTTTGCCGTAATTTTAATCATAATTTATATTTTATTTATCCATCCATCCCATCTTTTTTTACTGCCCTGTAATCCCTTAATTTGGGGTAGAATGGATGGAGCTGAGTGTTTACTGACCGGATGCCCTTTCTGATGCCACACGGAGTTCACAGTAAATATGTTTTTTAGTGCCCTAGGAGAGAAATGTCTGCCGCTACCTACTGTCAACCTTCTGAGTGGGAAGCTAATGTCTTTACCGCCAGGCCACCATGCTGTTCTTGTCTGTCCATCCGTCCGTCCATCCATCCATCCACCCACTCACCCACCCACCCACCCAACATCCATTCACCAATCCATCTAGTCATCCATCCACCCATCCATCCATCCCTATCATCTGTCTGTCTGCGTGTCTGTCTGTCTGTCTGTCTGTCTGTCTGTCTGTCTG